ACAAATGCAAAGTACTTTTCACTGACCAGATAGCAAAAGCACGGGTCTGACCACCACCAATCAAGTGTTAACACTGCAAGGACCTTGGTCTGAATGTGTATAAAGGATCTGTAAAATGTGTGTAAGACAGAGTTTTTGTACCAAGGTGCAAAGCTCTCCTTTCTTCTGCAGAATAAAGCAACTCCTCCTTATCCCTGTCTGGCTGTTATTGGCTCTCAGCTAGGTGGACCTGATATTTTGGTGACAGTTACTGGCGACTCCCTCCGCCGGGACTCTCCTAGCTCGGACATTGGACTCCGGACGGGAATGGTGCCAACGGGGTGTTTCGCCCCTTTTCTCTGCTTCACCGTGGCCCCTGGGGTTCATGTTCCGATAGGGTGAGTCCTAATAGGATAAGGAGACACTATCTGGTTCTGGTTCTGGTCTGGTTAACCGGTTAATGAATTTCTGTCTTATACATTTGGGTGTTAGGTGTGTGGACGGAACTGAGCCTCTCATTCATAATTCCTCAGAGTGGAAGCCATTGCGTGCGATGAAGCTCTGAGGTTGAATTGGGATCCTTCTGTCAGTATTAGTAGAAATTCCTGTAATAGGATCCTATCAGGCCATAATTCCCTCTGTTCTCTGTGTAATTCTCTGTTAGAGTGTCAGCAGGCAGATGGGTGGGTCTCTGGTAAAACCCTCAAAGGATAGTCCTTTGGATTATATGTTAAGCAAATGGCCCTTACCCGGTGTTCAAAAAGGGATGTCAAGGAAGCATTTTTTTTACAACTTTGCACCCAGGATTGGCCAGCCCTGGGGACTGCATGGCCCGAGTATGGCTCCTTTGATATTCCTACCCATTTAACCCCCTTACGCCTGATATTGGAAAACCAAGCGCCGGGGCAAATGGACTATTGGTTTTTGTGGGACGATGAGGCTCATCGTCGCATGAAGAAGGTACAGATTCAAGCCCCTCTATTCCCGAAAGCTTCTGCCCCTCACGAGGCTTATTATTTGGAGGATATCCCCCCCATGTATTGCTCTAGACCACGCTCACCCTCGGCGGCAGCATTACCAATTGCGGTGGACCCGGTACCCGCCTCAACGGAGCCCAGGACAGCAGGCCTACCAAGACAGATATTACCAACAAAGATTGAGGACACCACAATGCAGGCAAGCGAATCAGCTAGTGGAGCCACCAGCAGTGGGTACACTACCTCCCTGTCTGTTCCCAGCCTTAGTCCGTCCCATACAAGGAAGGGGGCACTTATGGGGACGAGGTAATTAATATCCAAGCACCCCTCCCGGCCATCCCAGTCCCTACTACGGATGGGAATGTTGTAGACCGTTATGTTCATGTCCCCTTTACCACTGCTGACCTTATGAACTGGCAAACCACTACGCCTCGCCTTAGGGACGACCTGGACGTCGTTCACAGGCGTTTCCGTGCCATTTTCCAGTCTCATAATCCTGATTGGCAAGACATGGGCCAACTTTTAGATTGTTTATTGCGCATGGAAGAGAAAGAGCGGGTACTAAGGGGGGCCCGGGAGGCTGCAGAGGCTGCCAATGACGGTCGCAATTTTATAAGGCTCACCAATCCGCCCCATTGGAACCCGAATGATTTGACCCAACAAGCAGATCTGAAGAAATTCCTAGACTATATTTTGACAGGCATAAAACAAGCGGGAGAAAGAACTTTAGATTGGACAAAGGTTCATAATACTGTGCAAGGGAAAGAAGAACACCCTTCTGACTTTTATGAGAGACTTTGTAAAGCATTTTGTATCCATACTAATACAGATCCCAAGGCCATGGACACACAGTCCACGGTCAGGCTTATTTTTATTTCCCAGTCAGCCCCGGACATCAAGAAGCAGTTGCGGCAGCTCAAGGGTGCTGAAGGAAAGTCCCTGGAGGAACTGGTAAGCGTGGCCACCCGAGTATATCATACAAGGGAAAAAGGTCAAGAGACCAAACAGGTGAGGATGCTAGCAGCCCTTGTAAACACTGGAAATGAAAAACAGGGAGGGTGGCAGGGACCCCGCAAATGGCAACCAAAATCAGATTATGGGGGGACCCCGAGACATGCCAATGACATACGTAACTACTGTAAGCAGCTTGGCCACTGGAAGAGAGAGTGTCCGAACTGACCTACCGGATGACAACCCCGTCGCCCAGACCGACCTCAACAACAGATGGCTGTGACAAGAATAGACGCTGTTGC